GTCGACGAGCTCAGCGACTAGAGCAGACGCAGCAGTGGACTCAAAAGAGGGGTCAGTGACGACAGTAGCAAGCAGACGTGTGACAGTAGGACTGGCAGCACGAAGAGAGTCCGACTCAGGGTCGGCAAGCGCAGGAAGAGAGGACTCAGGAGGAGAAGGCAAAGGGGCACGCAGAGGAGCAGTGGACGGACGCAAAGACATCCGGTGCGTGCCAGGGACAGGAGGAGGACGCTGACGCGAACTGCGACCACTAGCGCGAGCAGCACGAACAGGCGACGCGGGACGAGACGCAGGCTCACGACGCTCAGCAAGACCTCCAGTAGGACCAGTGTAAGGAGAGGGAGCAGGCAGTGGAGAGGAAGGCTCCAGCAGGGACTGCGACTGGACAGGCGGTGGACCCTCTACTGGAGGAGAAAGACCAAGAACCTGCTGCAGGAGCGGAACAAAGTACGGCCGAGGCCGCGCGGCAGCTCCAGACTCAGCAGGGACAGCACCAACACCCTCAGCGACAGCACCAGCGCCACCCACACCTCCAGCGGCAGGACCAACAGCAGTAGGCTCAGCACCAACGCCCTCAGCAGCTCCAGCTCCATGAGGACCCGCAAGTCCAGCAGCCCCGGGACCAGCAGCACCCGCACCCTTGACGGTCGAAGAAGCTCCAGCTCCAGCTCCAGCAGCACCTCCACACTCAGCAGCACGCCTCCACCGGCGAGCGAACCACTCGCGCAGCTCCTGTGGAGAGAGGGGCTCCCGGCGAGACGCAGCAGCAGGAGAAACCCCAGGCTCAGCAGCTCCAGACGCAGCACCCCCAGGCTCAGCAGCTCCCAGCTCAGCACCCCCAGGCTCAGCAGCTCCCGACCCAGCACCCCCAGACCCAGCACCTCCAGGCACAGCACCCCCCGGCTCAGCACCCCCAGGCTCCGCACCCTCCGCAGTAGCACCCTCAGGCCCAGCACCCCCAGCAGTAGCACCCCCAGGCTCAGCACCCCCGCGCACAGCACCCCCAGAGTTAGCACCCCCAGGCTCAGCACCCGCAGCCGCACCAGAGTCACCAGTAACCTCGACCGGGTCAACGGCGTCTACCTAGGACACACCTGAGGGGGCAGGAACCTGAGGGGGGAGGGGGTCTACCGGGGGGGGAACCGGCACAAGGAAGTCCGGGGGAGGGGGGAGGGAAGGATTGCGGTAGGGGAAGAGACGGTAGAAGGGGACTGACTCGTCGAACGTGACGTCCTGGGAGGACAGAGCACGACGAGAGGAGGGGTGGTAAAACTGCCACCCTGGGGCGTCAGTGGGGAAGCCAAGGAAGACACAGGGAGCAGCACGAGGGGACAGCTTGTCCGCAGACAAGTCGCGGACAAACGCCCGAGATCCCCAGACACGGAACACAGACGCATCGCCTACCTTCCCCGTCCACAGCAAGGCTGGGGACATCGCAGGCCGAGAGACCCGGGGGTGAAGGTTGAGCTGATGCGCCGCGTACCTCACCGCAAACGGCCACAGAAAATGGGGGGCAGCCGCATGCACCATGGACGTACGAGCGACATCCATGACCATGCCAATGCGGCGCTCAGCAATCCCATTTTGCTGTGGTGAGTCCGGAAGCGTGAAGGTCTGGCGGATCCCCCGTGCACGACAGTAGTCTCGCAGAAGGCGAGAAGAGAACTCTCCGCCTCTGTCCGAGTGCAGACGCAGAACAGGAAAGTCCGAGCCGAAGCTCTTCATGAGTTGGAGACGAGCCTCGAGGATCCAGTCGATCAGCACCTCAGTGACCGCACCCTTGCTGCGCAAGGGGAGGACTGTGGTGTAACGTGAGTAGTCGTCAACCACCAACAGGAAGTAGCGCTCGTGACCCTGCCCACGGACGGGGGCTGGGCCCCACACATCCATGTGAAGCGTCTGCAGGGGAGCCTCTGTCGGGGGGAAGTGGGAGGAGTGAGGAGTAGCCCGGAGGCGACCCTCGACACAGGGGACACAGGAAGGTCCTGGCCCGGAGGGGAGAGGAGGGAGAGACTGGGGAAGACCAGAGACAAGGACACGGGAAGCCATGCTCCGAAGACGGGGCAAGGAGGGGTGGCCAAGACGGTGGTGCCACAGGAGAGTCTCGTGAGACAGGAGGCGACAAGAACAGGGGGCAGACTCAGGACCTGACCGGGACGCAGCAGCAAGCACCTGACCTGACGCAGCCACCTGACCAGACGCAGGGACAGGAGGAGACTCAACGGTCAGGGTGTAGAGACTCGACCCCGGCCGACGCGAGAACGTGGCCAGGTGTCGGCCTGTGCGTGCCTCCGTGCAGTGGGTCACCCGCTGACTCGCAGGAGTGAACTGGTGAACCCCCACATCCTGCAGGTCCGCGCCACTCACCAAGTTCGTAGAGAACGAGGGAAGGTACAGACCAGACAGGGTGCCCGAAGGGGCAGCCGGACACGGGAGGACAGTGGAGAAGTGAGAGAGGACAGGACCCCCAGAGGGGTCAGCAAGGGAGACTGCAACCGGCCGGCCGAGCGGCGTAAGGGTAGTGCGGTCTCGAAAGAAGGAGCGAGAAGCCCCAGAGTCAAGTGTGAAAGTGAGGGAGGACGAGGACGACGCAGTACCTGAGAGCGTAGTCTCACCAGTACCTGAGAGCGCAGACGCACTGGCACCTAGAGCAGCAGCCTCACAAGCACCTAGCGCAGCAGTACCAATGCCCGGGTCGGGCTGGAAACACCGGTAACTCTCATTCTCCTCACTATAAGTCACAGCATACATAGCAGCAAGGATAGCATCAAAATCAAGATCAAAGATCGCTACACCAGCCCTAAGAAGCTCATCCCAGCGAGGGATCTCACTAGCCCCAGGGAACTGCTGATGCCAAGCGTCCGTCAGGCGGCCAAAGCAGCGCTGGGCGGCGTGGGCACCCCCACACTGCTCACCCGCGCGGTCGCCGGAACGAAGAACGTAGGTGCAGGGACCAGTACCCCCACCCCTCTGACGCCCAGCGTACCACTCACGAAGCTGCTGAGGCGGAGGGATGTCCCGCGAGCGCTGCTGCTGCTGCCGCTGCGAGCGCTGGCCACCACCACCGCCGCTACGCTGCTGGGTACCACCCCGACCAGCTCCACCTCCTCCACCACCACCGCCTCCTCCGCTGCCCCCTCCACCGCCTCCACCTCCTCCGCCTCCACCTCCGCTGCTGCCTCCACCACCACCGCTGGCACCACCACCACCGTCTCCGCCGCTGCTGCCACCACCACCACCACCCCCGCCACTAGTCCCGCCGCCACCCCCACTCCCTCCGCCGCCACCGCCGCCACCGCCACCGCCCCCTCCAGCTCCACCCGCGCCCTTGCCCCCCTTGCCCTTGCTGGAGCGACGTCTCCCACTAGGGGCAGACGCCGCGCCGACCGACTCAAGACCAAGCAGGTCGGCAGCAGCAGCAGAGGCAACAGAGGGCAGTAAGGGGGAAGGAGAGCACCCCTCAAAGATGGGGGTGCGAGGGTCACCACGAGAAGCACCTACAGCGACTATGCTCTTCTCCGCTGCGAGGAGGGCCTTCTCGAGGAGGTCGACGGTGAGGGTGGTGGGACAGACTGCGAGAAAGTGGTCCCTGACGACGCGAAGGGAGTCAGGGAGGCGCGCGACTACGTAGTAGAGAGCGATGTACATGGGGGGTGGGTTCTTAGCGCAGAACTCAGCAGGAAGGGCGGCGCGGTAGCGAGTGTCACTAGTGCGGAGGTGCGTAATGAGGTCAGCGACAGTGGGAAAGGCAGAGAGGTCAGGAAAGAGGTAGGGAAGCATGAGACGGCTCAGTGCAGCAGTGGCAGGGGAGGAGTAGCGCGCAACTACAGCGTCGTACAAGGTCTGAGCACTCTTGTACTGACTAAAGTGCGCGCGCTCAGAGGTAGGGAGGTGGCGACGCACAGCAAGACGTGCAGCAGCATCGCGGGTGGCCCACTGAGAGCGGACAGTGGGATCAGCATCAGCAGCAGGAGCAGGAGAGGCGCCAGAGGTGAGGTCAAAGAGAGAAAGGCCGTCAGCCCTGTCGCACTGTAAGAACAGCTGCAGGTCGTCTAACCAGACCTCAAAATCAATGGCGCGACCCTCAGCGTCAAAAGCTAGGACACTAGGGGTAGCCATGGCGACGACAGCGACGCAGTGCAAGCAGTAGGGAAAAAGCTCGCAGTGACAGTGGGACTGTGCTCACCAGGCAGGGCAGGTCGTGCAGCTCTGCAGAAAGGCGGCTCAGCGACCGGGCGGCTCGGGTGCACAGCGGCTCGGCTCCCGGGCGGCTCGGCGGCAGGGCGGCTCGGGTGCAGGGCGGCTCGGCTCCTGGGCGGCTCGGCGGCAGGGCGGCTCGGGTGCAGGGCGGCTCGGGTCCCGGGCGGCTCGGCGACTGGGCGGCTCGGGCGGTGGGCGGCTCGGCTCCCGGGCGGTTCGGCTGCACTGCTGCCCGACTGCTGCAGGTGTGGCGGCGGGGCCGCGTGAGAGAGCCGAGGCGGGGCCGCTTCAGAGCCGGCGACGGGGCCGCAAAAGAGCCGGCGGCGGGGCCGCTTGAGAGCCGGGGCAGGGGCCGCGTCAGGGCCGGCGACGGGGCCGTAAGAGAGCCGGCGGCGGGGCCTGGAGAGGGCCGGCGGCGGGGCCACGAGAGAGCCATCGGCGGGGCCGCGTGAAAGCCGGGGCGGGGCCGCGCGAGAGTAGGCGGCGGGGCCGCGTAAGAGCCTGGGCGGGGCCGCGACAGAGCCGTCGGCGGGGCCGCGTGAAGGCCGGGGCGGGGCCGCGTAGGAGCCGGGGCGGGGCCGCGTGGGAGCAGGCAGCGGGGCCGCGTAAAGGCCGGGGCGGGGCCGCGATAAAGTCGGCGGCGGGGCCGCGTGAGAGCAGGCGACGGGGCCGCGTAAGGGAGGGCGGCGGGGCCGCGTCAGTGGAGGCGGCTGAGCCGCAGGGGAAAAGGCGACCCGAGGGGTCGCTAAAAAAAATCGCGCCTCGGGGCGCGCTTCGGTGGGCCCAAAAAAAAACGGTCCTTAGAAGGACCCGCTCTATACCATGTGAGAATAAGCGAACAGGAATGAATGAACTAGCAGTGAAATGAGTACAAGTAGGAAACCCTAGAATTGTGTACCCCCTATAGGCTAACCCACTGTAGCCTACACAAGCATAACATATATAATGTTTGACAACCAAGGCGGTGTTGCCAAAGGAGAGTCTGGTGGGACAGGAGACGACACGAGCAAGGAGCAGACTCAGGATCAGACCTGGACGCTGCAGCAAACACCTGACTCGACGCAGCTACCTGACTAGACTCAGCAGCCGGAGGAGACTCAGTGGTAAGTGTGTACAGGCTCGACCCAAGCCGACGGATGAACGTGGCCAAGTGTCGGCCTGTCCGAGCACACGTGCAGTGGGTCACCCGCTGACTCGCAGGAGTGAACTGGTCAATCCCCCTATCCTCTAGGTCAGCTTCACTCACCAAGTTCGTAGAGAACGAGGGGAGGTAAAGACCTAACAGGGTGCCTGAGGGGGCTGCCGGGCACGGTAAGACAGTGGAGAAGCTAGCAAGGATAGGACCCCCAGAGGGGTCCGCCAGGTAGACTGCAACCAGCCGACTAAGCGGCGTAAGCGTGGTGCGGTCTGGAAAGAAGGAGCGGGAAGCACCCGAGTCAAGGGTGAAGGTGTGTAAGGCCTGAGCCGACCTAGTACCTGAGAGAGCAGACTCACTAGCACCTGAGGCAGCAGACGCACTAGCACCTAGAGCAGCAGCCTCACCAGCACCTAGAGCAGCAGCCTCAATGCCCGGGTCAGGCGGAACACACAGGTAACAGTCACCCTCAACACTATCAGACACAGCATACATGGCAGCAAGAGTAGCATCATAATCAAGATCAAAGATAGCAACCCCCGCCCTAGACAGCTCTCCCCAGCGAGGGATCTCAGAGGCCTCAGGAAACTGGTGACGCCACGCGTCCGTTAGGAGGCCGAAGCAGCGCTGGGTGGAGTGCGGGCCCCCGCACTGCTCACTTGCGCGGTCGCCGGTACGGAGGACGTAGGAGCAGGGACCAGTACCCCCACCACGCTGACGCGCAGCGTACCACTCACGAAGCTGCTGAGGGGACAGGGTCTCACGACTGCGCTCTTGCTGCTGGCGTGGACCACCACTGGACCCACTCCTCTGCGCAGAGCTGTGACCAGCTCCACCGCCGCCGCCGCCGCCTCCGCCACCTCTGCCGCCTCCTCCACCTCCACCGCCTCCGCCACCTCGGCCGCCTCCGCTCCCTCCGCCACCGCTGCCGCCTCCACCGCCTCCACTACTGCCACCGACACCTCCACCCCCGCCACCACTACCACCACCACCCCCACCCCCTCCACTGCCTCCACCACCACCTCCACCGCCCCAACCAGCCCCTCCAGCGCCCTTGCCCCCCTTGCTCTACCGGTGCGGCATGTCCCGCTAGGGGCAGACGCGGCGCCGACCGACTCGAAACCAACGAGGTCGGCCGCTGCAGCAGAAGCAACAGAGGGCAAGATGCGGGAGGGGGAACACCCCTCAAAGACGGGGGTGCGAGGGTCACCACAAGAGGCTCCTACAGCGACTATGCTCTTCTCTGCTGCTAGGAGGCGCTCCTCGAGAAGGTCAACGGTGAGTGTGGTGGGGCAAACAGAGAGGAAGTGGTCCCTGACTAAGCGAAGGGAGTCAGGGAGCCGGGTGACTATGTAGTAGAGGGTGATGTACATAGGGGTGGGGTTCTTGGCACAGAACTCAGCAGGAAGCGCAGCGCGGTAGGGAGTGTCACTAGTGCGAAGGTGTGTAATGAGGTCAGCGACTATGGGAAAGGCAGCAAGGTCAGGGAACAGGTACGGCAACATGAGGCGGCTAAGCGCAGCAGTGGCAGGGGAGGAGTAGCGTGCAACTACAGCGTCGTACAAGTGAGAAAGTGAGAACGAGAAAATGAATGACTAAGAAATGAAAGTGATACAAGTATGCAACCCCAGAATTGTGTACCCCATATAGGCTACCCCACTACAGCCTACACAACATTATAATTTCACACACCCCCATAGGCAAAGTGGGGGAGAACAAGGGGTCACAAGACCAGTCAAGCACAGCAAAGCAAGCTCAGGGTGGATCACAAAGTCACCACACATTCCGAGCACAAGTTCAAGGCCACAAGGCCAGTTCACATGCAGGAGTACATATATATATAAAAGGCTAGACAAGCAAGAGCAGGTGTATATATATATATGTAACAGTACAAACAAGGTCAAGAGGTGAGCAAGTGAGGCAAGGCAGGCACAAGGCCCAGCTGAGTAAAGAAGCGCTGATGATCACAAGGCGCAAGCGCCTTGGTGAAGATATCAGCAGTGTTGGCCTCAGAGGCCACGTACGCAAGACGCAGCTGACCACGCTGCTGCAACTCACGAGCAAGAAAGTAGCGGAGAGCAATGTGCTTCGTTCTGTGCTCCGGTCTCTGCTCTCGACACAGCTCTCGACACAAGGCCAGCATGGCCTTGTTGTCTACGTACAGCACTGGAGGAGAACGAGGCGGCTCTCCGAGGTCAGTCAGCAGGTAGGTGAGCCAGCAAAGCTCCTCTGCAGCCATGGCCCCGGCGTAGATCTCAGCCTCACAAATGGAGCCGAGAACAGAAGACGAGCGGGTAGCCCGCCACAAAACAGAGCCGGAACCAAGGCTGAAGGTGTAACCCTGTGACGACCGCTGCGTAGCCTGGTCGTCAGCCCAAGAAGCGTCTGCCTGCCCAGTGAGGACCACTGGACTCTGCCCTCCAAGCACAAGCCCCATGCCTGACGTACTGCACAAGTAGCGCAACACCCTCTTCGCTGCAGCCATGCTCCGATCTGTGTCTCCCAGGAGCAACATAGCGTGCGAGAATGCTAAGAGGGTATGCAAGGTCAGGTCGAGTGTAGGTCATCAGGTACATGAGGCAGCCAACAAGCTCTGGGTACGGGCCACTCGACTCTACGGACTCATCCGAAGGCAGAGCTCAGAGCGAGTGGCGAGTAGGTAGAGGAGTGGCCTGAGGCGAGGAGTACGTGAAGCCGAAGCGCTGAAGGACCTGCTGCAACATGTGTGACTGAGTCAAGGTAATGGTGCGGCGTGCTCTGTCCCGGGTGATCTGCAAGCCAAGGTAGCTACGCAGTTCACCCAGGTGTGTGCACGTATGTCTCTTCTGCAGCTCAGACTTCACGTGGGCGAGTCCAGCAGTGTCAGCTGTGGCAAAGACCAAGTCGTCGACGTACACGAGGATGTAGAACGGCGGCAAAGAAGTGTCGGTGCGCAGGAAGAGCGACGGGTCGGCAGTAGAGGGAGCAAACCCAAGAGCCGCAAGTGTAGTCCTCAGTGTGTCGTGCCACTCACGCGGTGCTTGGCGGAGACCGTAGATTGGCCGCCGGAGGCTCCACTGGGTGCAAGGAGGAAAAGACCCAGTGAAGCCAGGTGGGCGGCGCAGCCAGATCTCCTCATGCAGGCTGCCCTTCAAGAAAGCTGTGCTGAAGTCAAGAGAGTGAAGCTCGTAGTCACGGTGAGCAGTACCCGAAGAGTGGTCATCTTCGGGGTGGGAGAGAAGGTCTGAAAGTAGTCAACTCCCTGCCGCTGTCTGAAGCCACGAGCCACGTAACGCGCCTTGAAGACAGGCGGAGAACCCGGCGGCCGCTTCACCCTGAAAATCCACATGCCACTGACGATGTTCGCCCCAGGCGGAGGAACCTCATCAACGTAGGTGCCTGTGGACTTCCAGGAAGCCATCTCTGCGTCCATAGCTGCCTGCCACTGAGAGGAGTAGGGATCCTCTATCGCCTCCGCGTAAGAGCGCGGAGTCGGGATGTCAAGTGCATCCGGGTCTCCCTCAGGGGTAAGCAGTACGGACACGAGATGAGGTGAAGTAGTAGCCAGACACTGGAACTCCTCCTGCCTGTCCTCAAGGACGTCCGTGCCAAGGGCACACTCACCCCCGACGGACGGAGGACAGATAGACTCAGACTCAGCAACTAGGCTGGCGACGTAGTCTAGGCGACAGCGAGCAGCAAAGTCGACGAGCTCAACAACTAGGGCAGACGCAGCAGTGGACGCAAAGGAAGGGTCAGTGACAACAGTAGCAAGGAGACGCGTGACAGTAGGACTGGTAGCACGAAGAGAGTTCGACACTGGGTCGGCAGGAGCACGAAGAGAAGACTCAGGAGGAGAAGGTAAAGGGGCACGCTGAGGAGCAGTGGACGGACGCAGAGACATCCGGTGCGTGCCAGGGACAGGAGGAGGACGCTGACGCGAACCGCAACCACTAGTGCGAGCAGCACGGACAGGCGACGCAGGGCAAGACGCAGGCTCACGACGCTCAGCAAGACCTCCAGTAGGACCAGTGTAGGGAGACGGAGCTGGCAGTGGGGAGGCCGGCTATAATTGTAACTATGACGGGACAGGCTGTTGACACTCGAAGGGAGCAGGAGGACCAGTAGAAGACGGGAGACCAAGAACCTGCTGAAGGAGCGGAACGAAGTACGGCCGAGGCCGCGCGGCAACTCCAGACTCAGCAGGGACAGCACCACAACCCCCAGCGGCTGCACCAGCACCAGTAGTACCTCCAGGTCCAGTACCTCCAGCAGCACCTGTAGCACCCCCAGCAAGACCGCCTCCAGGACCGACAGCTGTAGCCTCTGCGCCAACACCCGCAGCAGCTCCAACTACAGAAGTACCCTCATGCCTAGCAGCTCCAGTACTCCCTGTACGAGCACCTCCGGGACCCGCGGCGCCAGCACCCTCAGCAGCAGCATAACCTCCAGTACCCGCAGCACCTCCAGCTCCAGCAGCTCGCCTCCAGCGCCGGGCAAACCACTCACGCAGCTCCTGTGGAGAGAGTGGCTCCCGGCGAGACGAGGCACCCGCAGAAACGCCAGGCACAGCACTGCCAAACGCCACACGAGCAGGCCCAGCTCCCTCAGGCTCAGCACCTCTAGGCTCAGCACCTCCAGGCGTAGCACCCTCAGGTTCAGCACCCCCAGGCTCAGCACCCCCAGGCTCAGCACCCCCAGGCTCAGCACTCCGAGGCTCAGCACCCCCAAGCTCAGCACCCCCAGGCTCAGCACCCCCAGGCGTAGCACCTACACGCTCTGCACCCCCAGAGTCAGCACCCCCAGGCTCAGCACCCTCAGCAGCACCAGAGTCACCAGCGACCTCGACAGGCTGAACAGCGTCTACCTGGGACACACCTGAAGGGGCAGGACCCTGAGGGGGGAGGGGTTCTACCGGGGGGGGACCTGGCACAAGGAAGAGCGGTGGCGGGGGGAGGGACGGAGTGCGGTAGGGGAAGAGACGGTAGTAGGGGACCGACTCGTTGAGCGTGACGTCCTGGGAGGACAGAACACGACGAGAGGTGGGGTGGTAGAACTGCCACCCTAGCGCGTCAGGGGGGAAACCCAGGAAGACGCAGGGAGCAGCACGAGGGGACAGCTTGTCCGAAGACAAGTCGCGGACAAACGCCCGAGATCCCCAGACACGGAACGCAGACGCATCGCCAACCTTCCCTGTCCACAGCAAAGCTGGGGAGGTCTTCGGCATGGAGACCCTGGGCTGAAGGTTGATCTGATGCGCCGCGTACCGGACCGCAAACGGCCATAGAAAATGGGGGGCAGCCGCATGCATCATGGACGTATGGGCGACGTCTATGACCATGCCAATGCGGCGCTCAGCAATCCCATTTTGCTGTGGAGAGTCCGGAAGCGTGAAGGTCTGGCGGATGCCTCGTGCACGACAGTAGGCTCGCAGAAGGCCAGAGGAGAACTCTCCTCCCCTGTCAGAGTGCAGGCGCAGAACAGGAAAGTCCGAGCCGAAGCTCTGCCTGAGCTGAAGACGAGCTGCGCGGATCTAGTCGATCAACACCTCAGTGACATCACCCTTGCTGCGCAAGGGGAAGACTGTGGTGTAGCGCGAGTAGTCGTCAACCACCAGCAGGAAGTAGCGCTCGTGACCATGTCCACGGACGTGGGCCGGGCCCCACACGTCCATGTGAAGCGTCTGCAGCGGGGCCTCTGTCGGTGGAAACTAAGAGGAGTGAGGGGCAGCCCGCTGCCGTCCCTCGACACAGGGAACGCAGGTAGGGCCAGGCCCCGGAGGAAGGGGAGGGAGGGACCGGGGAAGACCAGAGACAAGGACACGGGAGGCCATGCTTCGGAGACGAAGCAGGGAGGGGTGACCAAGGCGGTGTTGCCAGAGGAGAGTCTCGTGAGACAGGAGACGACACGAGCAGGGGGCAGACTCAGGACCAGACCTGGACGCTGCACCAAACACCTGACCCGACGCAGTAACCTGACCAGACGCAGTGACTGGAGGAGACGCAGTGGTCAGCGTGTACAGGCTCGACCCCGGCCGACGTGTAAACGTGGCCAGGTGTCGGCCTGTCAGAGCGTCCGTGCAGTGGGTCACCCGCTGACTCGCAGGAGTGAACTGGTGAACCCCCGCATCCTGTTGGTCAGCACCACTCACCAAGTGCGTAGAGAACGAGGGGAGGTAAAGACCAGACAGGGTGCCAGAGGGGGCCGCCGGACACGGGAGGACAGTGGAGAAGTGAGCAAGGACAAGACCCCCAGAGGGGTCTGCCAGAGAGACTGCAACTGGCAGACCAAGCGGCGTGAGTGTGGTGCGGTCTCGAAAGAAGGAGCAGGAAGCCCACGAGTCAAGAGTGAAGGTGTGAGAGGCCTGAGCCGACGCGGTACCTGAGAGAGCAGACTCACCCGCACCTGAGGAAGCAGACTCACTAGCACCTAGAGCAGCTGCCGCACTTGTACCTGGAGCAGGAGACTCACTAGCACCCAGAGCAGCAGCCTCACCAGCAGCTAGAGCAGCAGGCTCTATACCCGG